AGATGACACCCAGTTGGGTTGTACAGTAAACTCTTTGGTGTGTGGTGGTGTCCTTTAGAAGAGGGTGGTGCATATGCAGTGGGATTTCTGGTGGACCTAGTAACCAGGGCTGTATGTCTGGTATTGGGATAAGCCTCATCATGAAAGGGGCGAGTCTCTGTCTACTGGAAGTATCCCAGAATTGAAAAGCAGTGTAGCATATGATGCTTAAGAAGATACTTGTCTTCAGCAGCTCAGGCTGCTATAACAAAATACCACAGACTGGGTGGTTTAAACAACAAGGATTTATTTCTCACGGTTTTGGAGGTGGGGAAGACCAAGATCAAGGTACTGGCCAGTTCAGTTCCCAGTGAGGGCCCTCTCCCTGGCTTGCAGACAGCCGCCTTCTCACTGTGTCCCCACATGGTGAGGACCATGCTCTTGTCTCCCCCTCTCTTTATTTATTTTATTTAATTTATTTTTTTTGGCGGTACATGGGCCTCTTTCACTGTTGTGGCATCTCCCGTTGCGGAGCACAGGCTCTGGATGCGCAGGCTCAGCGGCCATGGCTCACGGGCCCAGCCGCTCCGCGGCATGTGGGATCTTCCCGGACCGGGGCACGAACCCATGTCCCCTGCATCGGCAGGCGGACTCTCAACCACTGCGCCACCAGGGAAGCCCCTCCCCCCCTCTTTATTAAGGGCATCGATCTCATCATGCGGCCCCACCCTCATGATCTTGTCGAAGCCTAATTACCTCCCAAACGTCCCACCTCCAAATACTGTCACACGAGGGGTTAGGGCTTCAACATAGGAATTTAGCTGGGGGGTGCACACTCAGTCCATAACAATACTTAACCTTTCCAAGCCTCAATTTCATTATCTTAAACATATACCTGTAACCACCTATAAAGTGGTCCTGAGATGATAATGCATGTATAAGCTTGAGAATTTGGTACATAGTGAGGTCTCAAAAAATTGTGATGATTGTTAACTTTACCGTATTTCAGAGATGTGATAAAAGCGTTTTTGGTATTTGTTCAAAGACAGGACTGGATAAAATTTTCCAGTTCTGAGAATCAGTAAGTGCATTTTAGTATTTGCCTTTGTCCCTTTGAGCCTGGGGACAGTGATGCGGCTCTGTGGGCATCCTTCAGGCACACGTTGCTCCTTCTGTGTGTGCATCTTTACATTAGTTGCTGTCTTTGTCTTGTCTCTGAATTTTCATGTGTCTTCTGTCACTCTGTTCTTGAATTCATTTCCCCCTCTTTTTTTTCCTCATCATTCACTCATCATAAAACATGACGAACAGTTTACGATGTTTATTATTTTGCTGTATTTTTAAATCTTTATTTCAAAAGCCAGTGTCTTCAGTGGGGGTGTCCCCCACATGTGAGTGGGTTACTTCATCCTCCGTCTTTTCTGCCCCTGCTCAGAGTCCCGCTTCCCTAGGTGTTGACGGGGGCAGACTGGTGTCAGGGGCCTGACTTTTTTCTCACTGGGCTCTATCGTGGCTCCTGCTGGGCTGGGCGTGTAGAAGTAAAGAGTTAGGTGCAAGATTTGGCTTAAAGAGGAAGCTGTTTACCCAGCTCTTTCCCCAGCCTGGATGGGGTGCCCCTCGTCCCCCCTGTGGAGGCACCAGGCCTCCCTTTACTTTGTTTTCCCAGCCTTCGTGATATGAACAGGGTTGTTTTATATCTGCTGAGAGAAAACCAGTGATTTGACAGCCTGTGTTTCTCTACATTTAGCAACTGGCATTTACACAATAGAGACTCTTGTATAGCGGCATATCCTTTGACCATGGTAATTAAAATCATCTCGAATAGATGTAGTTACACTTAATTATGGATTCTGTCCTCTAATTGATGTAAGCTTATGACACATTTAGTTTATAAGACTATTGTTTATGGCTGAATGTAGATGCCTAAGTTATCATTTTTCAGTTTCTTTTAAGAAAAGTCCTATATAATTTGTTAGGAATTTTTTTTTAGATTTGTAACAAAACTCATTTTAAAATTGCTTCCATCATCAGTCAAGCATAATACAAAGATTGATTACGTGGGTGCTGTTTGCCATGACAGGCAAAAAGGGTGTTGTGAACACATGTTACTTACAGAATATAAAAATTCTGATGGACTGTTCTAGGTTGCTGAAAAAATACTAAAAGAGAGTGAAAAGATGAACTACTTAGGACTAAATTTCATTTCACTTCTGTTTTTGGAGACATTCTTAACATATAAAAATTGTACACCGTGACCCCAAAAATAAGGAACAAAAAGATGTTTATTCCCTTTTCCTCTATGTTAGTTGTAGTGCTCTTTTATAAAACAAAATTTAATTTTCCACATCATTAGCCATTAGGTAAATGCAAATTAAAACCAGTATCACTACATACCTGTCATCATGGCTTTAATAAAAAATCGTGACAATGCCAAGTGCTGGCCAGGGATGCAGAGACACTGTATCTCTCAGACATTGCTGGCCGGAGTGGAGAATGGTATAGCAACTCTGGTGGCAGTGTCTTTAAAAACTAAGCATGCGATTCCCATTCAGCCCAGCAGTCACATTCCTGGGCATTTTACCCTAGTCAACTGAAAACTTATTTTCACACAAAAACCTGTACATGAATGCTTAGAGCAGTTTTCTTTGTGATAGCCAAAAAATCTGAAATAGCTCAACTGTTCCTCACAAGTGAATGATTAAACTGTGGTATGTCCACACCATGAAATACTAGGCATCAATAAAGGGGAACAAACTGTTGATACATGCACCAACCTGGATGAATCTCCATAGAGATATGAGTGGGAAAAGGCAGTCCCAAAAGGTTAGATACTGTGTGATTCCATTTATATAACTTCCTTAAAAATGGCAAAAATCTCAGAAATGAAGAACAGATTAGTGGTTGCCAGGAATTAAGCGGGGCGGGGGGGGGGGCATCGTGAAGATCCACCTGCAATAACTTGCTGATGGATTACGTGGCGGGGGGGGGGGGGGGGGGGGGGGCAGACAGAAGGCAAGTAGGTGTGTGTGTGTGTGACTATAAAAGGCCAATAGGACAGGTCTTTGTGACGATGGAAATGTTCTGAATCTTAACTGAATCAGAGTTGATACGCAATTGGGCTACTGCACTAGAATTTTGCCAGATGCTACCATTGGGGGAAACTGGGTAAAGTATATACATGGGATCTCTTTGTATTATTAGTTACAACTACATGTATGTGAATCCACAATTATCACAATACAAGGTTAATTTTTAGCATATGAGATGTAATACGAATATTCTGATAAAACACTACCGCACGTTTCTTTTTTATTCTCTTTTGTTGATGGTTCGTTTGACCATTCATCCCATGAATATTTAAGAAATCATTATTGAGCGCTTGATACGTGCTTAATTTGGCCTTATTATAGAGTTCAAATCAATTATTGTAGACCTGAAATCATACCAGCTTGTAACTGTTTTAGAATTTACCTCATAAAGGACACCTGCCACTGTATTCTGCTGTTTATTGGTACGTTTTGCAGCTGGTTTACATCCTCAAAGCCAGCTCCTTCTGTAAGTGCATTTTGGAGCCTTGGTAGCATTAGCTTTAAAATATTCAAAACGTTTTCCAGGGTAAAGTTATTGTGGCTCTGCTCCATGGCATTAAACTGATGGGCCTTGATTACTGTGTACAAGAGCAGGAAATCCAGGCACTGCCTGTGGGTGCTGGCTCTCCTGTGAAGGAGCGGTGGGTTTTTCTGCAGCAGGGGTGCTGGCAGGTCCCTGGGTTGTCCCGTGGATGGCATTCTTCTAGTTTAGCTTTGGACTTACCTGACAGCGTAGAATGTACTCTCTGGGGACTTTTCTGAACATGTAACTTTGAACTCCAGGTCGCTCAAAGGCTTTTGATCTGGGTTGAGAAAGACAGCCGTGCTTATGGTGAATACCCTGCAGAATAGGCTGTCGGGTCTCTGGTTGGGTGGAAGTCGGCTTCCGGATGAGCAGGGCTGTGGGGAGTCTCTGGTTCCATCTGCATCCCTCATGTCCTCAGGAGAATGAGTTGTGCTCAGTTGTGCTTTAACACTCTGCCAGGAGAGCCAGTGTCTAATGAGAGAACTGTGGTCGTATAGATAACTGGGAATAAAATTTGACAGCCTTAGGACTAAAGTGTGGCTATTTTTTCCTAACGAATGAAGAGTTGGGGGCACAGCCCCCCCATCCTGTGGCCAGATGAAGCGTGTGGTGACCCTGTGCCCCGGTCGGGTACCCTTGCCGCCCTTTTGACCCTTTCTGGAGGACCCTTTACAGTCTGGTGATCCTGATTTGAATAGTGCATTGCAGTTAAGGTCTAAGATTAAAACCCTTTTCTGTGCTTTGAACTTTGTGGGACATGAATATATGTTCTAGTGAGTTGTGGTGAAGCACTGAAGGGATTTTCCTTCAAAGTACTGTTATAAATTGCTTAGACCCGGCCTAGCTCACCAGTTTGTTTGTTTAATCTAGCGTGTCTCTGAACCATAGTCAATTAATTCCGTAGAAAACCCATCTCTCACTTACCTTCCAACAGGAGCAGCGTGATTTCAGGTTCCTCTTGGGGGTGATCTTCAGTCACTTCTCTGCTTGGCTGCTTGGTCGGAGTGGATGCACTTTCCCCAGGTCCCCAGTTGTCTTGGGCAGGAGGTCCGTGTGGCAGTCGGGGCTCTTTGGGGGTCTCTGTGGGTTCTGAACTTTGGGGGGAACGCCTAGTGGCAGCAGGCTCAATCCGCGATGCTGGAAAGGGAAAGGGGACTTCTGCATGCCTGGCTGGGCTGCCTGTCAGCAGCAAGGCGGACGGACAGTGTGGGGCTGCCCACGCGTGGAAGTGTGTAGCGGCCGCATTAGCCTGAGTCGCAGGGGCCCAGCGTCTTCGGGGCTAATCACAGTCTGGAGTACATATGAGCCATGTAGTTTTAGGCCCTGTGGTTTTTTCTCTGTCGCTGTCATTAGACCCACAAACTCAGCGTTAACATCTCATCCGCTTTTTTTCTTGTCTTTTATAGTCTCAAACCATGAATTACGTGGGGCAGCTGGCCGGGCAGGTGATTGTCACTGTGAAGGAGCTGTACAAGGGCATTAACCAGGCCACACTGTCTGGCTGCATCGATGTTGTGGTGGTGCGGCAGCAGGACGGCTCCTACCAGTGCTCACCCTTCCACGTGCGCTTCGGGAAGCTGGGCGTCCTGCGGTCCAAAGAGAAAGTGGTGAGTGCGGGCGTCCTGTCCTCCAGGAGGATGAGACACCGGGCGTGTGGGGGGCGGGCAGAGTAAATCATTCCTGTGAGCTCTTGGGACCTCTGTGTGTGTGTTTCTGTTTTGAAAACCTGTATGCTTTTGAAGACAGTGGTATGGGAAGTCCGTCTTTTGTACTGTTTTTGAAGTTGCTTCTAAATTCAAAAAGCCCTACTACAGGAAGTCTAGGGGGAAAAAGAGGTGAGCATCATCTTAATAATCCTGTATGTTGCAACTCAGAAAATCAAAACAGAAACTAGAGTTATAAATGGGGAAATCAGGTGTATTTAGAAAAAGTTCCTTTACCTTTTACAGCACTTTAAAATATTTAATGTAATGCCTTCACACCAGTTGTGAATGGAATAGATAGGCATGCTCAAGAGTACATGTGTTTAAATGAAATACATTAATGCCAAATTTGTGCATTTATTTTGACAAAGCTGTAAAATCTTACTTGTAATCTAAAGTTTATTGTAAATACCAGAACTTTTTCCCAATTCTGAAATGAAATGAATCTGAAATGAAAATCCACAGGCTTTTATTTATTTTAGGGAAGATTCTTTCACAAAGAAGGTATTTGTGTTGGTTTTCCTTTTTCTTTTAACTTTTTTTTTTTTTTTTTTTTTTTTTTTTTTTTTTTTTTACATCCTCTTTCCTTCAGGTTATGGAGCACTTGGAAAGTCTGTTAGTATATCTGATCTGATATCAACCATGTTAGAAAAAGCTGAGCTAACAGTAAACTTCGCGGGTACATAGTAGTATTTTTCTTTCTACTCCTGTCCCACAGTATCTACTTAAACAGCATAAGGAGATTTTGTCAGGATTTTCAAGCACAATGAAAGAATCCACACCATTTTGTAGCACAGAAGTATGTGTTAGAGGACCATTGTCCTAAGTTGAAAACATCTGTTTTCAGATTTCAGCTAATAACATAGCTGATCCTTTTTTTTTTTTTTTTTTTTGGCTGTGTTGCTGTGTGCATGCTTTCACTAGTTGCAGCGAGTGGGGGCTGCTCTTCGTTGCAGTGTGCAGGCTTCTCATTGCGATGGCTTCTCTTGTTGAAGAGCACAGGCTCTAGGTGCACAGGCGTCAGTAGCTGTGGCGTGCAGGTTTCAGTAGTTGTGGCACGCAAGCTCTAGAGCGCAGCCTCAGAAGTTCTGGCTCACGGGCTTAGTTGCTCCGCGGCATGTGGGATCTTCCCAAACCAGGGGTCAAACCTGTGTCCCCTGCATTGGCAGGCGGATTTTTAACCACCAGGCCACCAGGGAAGTCCCTGATCTTATTCTTTAAAATATAAATTTCCCTCTATTTTAATTGAATTTATGTTATTTTGAAAGTGGCTGGAGAGCCATGTTTCAGGGTGGCAGGGCTTGTGTGGTCCAGCCTCTGTTCAGAGTCACTTTGGAAACGAAAAGCAGTGGTGATGTACTGAGTGACTTGGAAACTTTCCACTGCAAAACAGTGTTCAGCCACAGTTTAGCTTCTCCAGAATTTTTTCTTTCTTCTGGTAACACTAACCTGTAGTACTTTAGACTGTATCTGCTTTGGAAGCATCAGCAACAAACTGTTTATGCCCTGAAATGTCCCATTAATTGTGCCAGGATCTATTTGTAAAATGGCTTACAAGCCTTCCCCAACCCCTCGCCCCTTTCCCATCTATGATCTGGGTTTTTGGTCAGCAGATTGGATAAGTCTTCTGGCCTTCAAACTGGAACCTGCAGGCTGATGTATATAAGCATTTGTGCATCTGTAAATGGGACTGGGCAGGTAAGAGCTCTCTTTCTGCATGCTGTATGCTTCTAATTAAGAAAGTAGACAGTTTCTGTGTGAGGCTACGCAAATCATTGTGCTCAATATCTTGTCAAACCCTTAACTTTTAGTAGAAATCTATCCAGTGAGACCCAGGAAAAGAGAAAAGTTCTTTCCCTTGGTAGCCCAGAGACCCAGAGGATATATTTGGGAGGAAATTTGGCTATTTGAACCAAAGCATAGCATTCCTGTGACAGTAAAACCAAAACCATTTCTGCCCTGAGACACTGGCAGTTTGGATGAACTATTTGTGTTATTTTAGGTCATTCTGGATTAGGGAAAGCTCTCCATTGATTTTAAATTAAGAACCCAGTTTTCAAATATGGGGACACCTATGAAGTGGACTTGAAATCATAACCACCTTAAAACCTCTGGTTAGAAAGATGCAATATAATAATTTTCCCACTGCCATTGCTATATTCTTGTTTGATAGAACACATTACTCCCTGTATATTTCATAACTCAGGAGTTGAATTTCAGGAGGTAAACCTGCACTTGATATTTTTAAATATTAATTTTGTTGATTTAACACAACTGATGATTTAATTACTTATCAAAGTTAAATAACCCAGTGTATTAGGACAGTTTCCATTGTGGATGACAAAAATCCACCTCACTAGCTTAGGCAAAAAGGGAATTAAATTGGCTGGTGTAAGTAAAGTACGCGAGTATTTGAATGAGTCAGGGCTTTACTTAGAGCCTCTGAAGGTGTTGACAGGCCTGTCTCCCCTCACCTCTCAGCTCTGCTTCCTTTTGTGTCTGTCTGTCTCATGCAAGATGGCTGCCAGTATCTTCAGGCTGACTTGCACTGACTTCCCAGAGGAAAGACAGCGTCTCCTGCCTACAGAAGGACCAGTGTTAGCTGCCCTGTCAGCCTGGGGTCACGTGTCTCGGGAACTAGGTGGGGGTGGAATATACTGACTGGCCTGGCTTGGGCAGCAGCCCCACTGCCACTCTCTGAAGCTGCACCGGAAATAGATGGTCTGGAATAGAGGAGACTAGATCCCCAAAGGAGACCAGAGACATGCTTACCCAAAGGATGGCCTGCCAAGACAAGTGTCTGCTACAGCCAGCATTTCTCAAAATCAGTTCTGTTTCAACATCTGTCCCATATGTTGAGCAAAATTAAGGCACAGTGTAGGAAGTGTGACTATATGGAAATGACTGTTTTAGAAACCAGTTTACCAGAAGTAGTAACATCAAAATGAGTGTCCTCTTTACAGTAGTCACCTCGGGAAGCATTTATTCCAACTTGGTGCCATCTCAGAATATTTTTAGTGTTTTTCCTTTGTGACCTAAAGAACTCATGGCATACATATTCCTTTAAGTATGCTCCATATTGGCACAGTTTGATATTAGGTTTAATTTTTGGAGAGAACCAAACTCCATTTAGAGTCAAATCAAGAGACTAAAGTAGTCGTATTAAGAAATGTCGTATTTGATCCCTAAAAATACGGGCTATAGATATAAACCAAAGGGTTAACTTTTCTAAAATAAACAGACTTTGAATTTGCATCCTAAAGAAGCGTCATTCATTCCCTTTTCCCAGCTACATTAGATAAATGGGTAACCTGCAAAGGTGAAAATTTTTGAAGGACGATATTAGTTTGAATCTTTTATTAAAGATAAAATAACTTTAAATGTTTCATTTGTACTGTTTAAAATTTTATATAACAGCAAGTCAACGAACATGGTTATTTAAATTATTTTATATGTCTAACTTCTAGTTGAAAACATGTAATTAAGTCATCCTGAGAAACTTGAAATCTGGCATTACGGAGCGAATTTAGTTTTTCCCTATCTTCTTGCCTGTAGTCCAGAAAAAAATTTTTTTTCATTACGTTTTCTGTTCTCAGATAACTTTTTCAGTTAGAAACATTCTTCCTGTGGCTGTGGAAGAAGCTGCTATTGTTACAGCTGCTTTAGAAAAACGTTAGATGACGCGAGATGCTTATGTGACTTCAACTAGTTTATTGTGAAGAAAAAGCTTAAAACACTTACCTGAAAGCGTATTTTTCTTTAGCCCGGGAATTTCTGGCAGTACTTTGTTTTAGAAGAGTTAAGAGTTCATGCCATACGCAGCTTTTTTTAGCAGTAAATGTTCCCAGTAGTAGAAAGCGCTAAGAAGGCCGGCTGGGATAGGAGTTAGGGTTAGTGTTTGTCCTGTGGAAACTGCTTCATGCAGCCCTTTCTTTTAAAAAGCAGAAGAAAAATGAGTTTTTTGTAAAATAATCATTTTATTAGCATTTCTGAAATTACATAGGGATTTTTTTTTAGTATAGGATTTTAAACTTACTTTGTATTCAATTCTTAGTTGCCTGTTTTTTCTGATTTCTTTTTATAGTGTTATCCTTTTTTTTTTACAGCTTTATTTTGTAATTAACACACAATAAACTGCACATATTCAAAGGATATATTTGGTAAGTTTAAGCATATGTGTGCACCATGAAACCATCACCACCATCAAGATACGGAGCGTTTCGTTGTCCTGTCTTCTTGGTCTCCTCCACTCCGTGACAGTTCCTCAGTCTTTGTTTTTTGTGATTTTCACATTTTTTTAGCTTATATTGATTTTAGATGTCCAGACAAGTTGCAAATGCAGTTTTTAAAGTTTCCATATATCCTTCACCCAACCTCTTCCCCTACTGTTCACATTTCACGAAACCATAGTTACAATTATCAGAACCAGGAAATTAACACCAGTATAAACCATCAGCAAAAGACCTTATTACGATTTCACCAGTTTTTCCACTCCTGTCTTCTGTTTCGGGATCCCGTGTTGCTCTCACCCTGTGTTCTCTAACATATGACCTTGACTTCTGTCAAGGTCTTTCCATATGACCTTGACTTCTGAAGAGTACAGAACAGTTACAGTGTAGATTGTCCCCCAGTGTGAATTTGTCTGGTGTTTTCTCCTTTTGGTGAGAATGACACCGCGCGGGGGTGTGCCCTTCCTGGTGCCTCGGCTGAGGAGCCCTGCCCTGCTGCTGTCTCCTCACTGGTGATGTTAACTCTGTGATCACTTGCTGAATGGTGTCTGCGAGGTTTCTTGGCTGTGAGTTTACCTGTGGGGAGAAGCTTTGAGACTGTGCGCATACCCTGTTTCTTGTTGTGCGTCCACCATGAATTTTAGCTTACACGGTGGACTCTGCGGCGGCTCTTGCTGCGGTGTTTCCCAAATGGTGACTTTCTATTTCCATTCTTCCTGCTCCAATTATTAATTGAAATTGTACCTTGTCGAAGAGCTTTTCTTCTCTTATTTACTTAATTATTCAGTTATTTAATTAGATCAGTATGGACTCATGGATATTAATTTTACCCTGTGGGTTATAGTCATTATTTCTGTAGTTGCTAAGATTGTCCCAGATTTGGCTGTTGGACGCCCCTTCAAGTTGAGTCCTTTCGAAATGCTCCCATCATTTTTTGAGCACTTCCTTACTCTCTGGCACCATAAGATATTCCAGGAGGCGCTGCTTTCCCTGCCTCAGCCCCAGAATTATTTTTATTTCTCCAAGGAGCCTTGGTTCCTGTTACTGGAGAATAGTATCTGGAAACAAAGACGTGGTCACTGGGTGTGCTCATTAGCCTGAGGTATAATTGCTTGTAGCCCCTCTCAGCCAGCAGAGCTAGAAAGTCCATGTATGTATACACATACACGTGCCCACACCTGCGTCTACTTCCGTCTGTGAAAATCGGGAGTTTACAGTGATTCCTCCCTCTCCAGCCAGTCGCCACAGGGTTCTTCCTCGTCTCCGTATTTGTAGCTTCTTTCTCCGACGGTGAGAAACATGCTTCTCATTATCCACAGTATATTTACATATTTGTTCAGTACTCGAATACGCATAAAGTAGTTTCAGAATTGCCGACCCATGTCTATGATTAAAAAAAAATTGCTAACTACAGTATTTGTTTATAGTTCTTCTTGTCTTCGGACTTAGAGTTCTGTAGTCAACATACTGTTTTTCAAAGTTACTTAGTTTTCTTCCTCTTCCCTTCCATGTGGTTATGTTATTCATACGTAGAATTTTTAAAACAAGCATTGACGGCATATGTCAACTAATATTTTTTAATATGATGTTACTTATCCCATCATTCCGTGGCTCCTGGGAAGATGGAGCTGCCTTCCATGACTGGACGTGAACCAGGGCTCAGTCTCTGGTCAGAAGCGGTCGTTGGTCTTCCTTGGGACACACCCAGCAGACTCTACAGTTGTTCCCACCACGAGGGCCATGCAGAGCTAAGGACACTGAGGTTATGGACTGTTCTACTTCTGTCTATATTATGCCTTTGTGTGTTCATCTTTATAGCCCCTGAACAGTCTAAAACCAGAGTTTACGAGTTATCCGTAAGAGTTTTGAAAGTTGGTATTTATTTTTGTAAAATATTTAAGAGTATTTATTCACAGCTTACAGATAAGCAATTACATTATTTTTAAGTGATATGGTAGTACCTGATATATATATGTGTGTGTGTGTATATATATATATATATATGTGTGTATATATATGTGTGTGTGTGTGTGTGTGTGTGTGTGTGTGTGTGTATAAAAACAAACATTCCTCACTTTGCATAGTAGTACAGACCATAAAAATGGGCAAGCTGAAACCCTGCAAAAGGAAGCTTAGTCGATGAGGGAAATTAGGATTCTTCCACGACCTCTGTAAGCTTTGGTCAAAACTTTTAAAAACTCCTACTATCAGTTATAAATATATAAGAAAATGAAAAATAGTAAAATAGTGTTTGGTGCACTGCAATTTAAAACATTAGAAACAATGAGAACTAAATTTCTTTGTAAAAAACTCGTCAGGAGTAGTTTGAACAGGGCTTACCTTCTTGATGTAACACGCTACGGAACAAGCATCTTTTCTTTGTCTTGGTAAATTGTCCTACTCCTTTCTAAGTCTACATCAGCTTCTAGCTTTTCATCCTTTGAAATTCCCATGTCATGAAGCATCTCCGGGAGTTGCTTCAACCTGCAGGTTTCTGCCTGTGTCCCTTCCTGTGGGTCTTCATCCTTTTGTCTCAGCCATGTTCCTCCTTTCTGGTATAAACTCACCTCCAGGTTCCTCTGGCAGCCCATCCTGAGTCCCCTGTTCGCAAGGTCGGCTCTTTCTTCTGTAGCTGCTGACGTTCAGTTTGATTTTACTTCCAGCACTAGTACTGTTTGTTTGTCTACTGCTCTCTGATCTTGGCCAGTTGCCTCTTTCAATTATCCATTTTATAAAATGTCAACTGGCTTTATCACTGGGAGACCAGGAGGCAACACAACCACATGCTTTGCTGCCTGTGCCTGAGCTGAGTAACAGATGTGCTGGGACTAGTCACCGACAGACTTTGAAAAAATGACGTGATGAGTTACTGATCATGATGGGCATCTGTTATGTACGTGCAGTCGCTCTTCTGTATCCATGGGTTCTGCATCCAAGGATGCACCCAACCTCGGATCAAAAATATTTGGAAAAAATTTTTTCCAGGAAATTCCCAAAGCAAAGCTTGAATTTGCTGCACGCTGGCAAGTATTTACATAACATTTATGTTGTATTAGGTATTATAAGTAATCTAGAGATGATTTAAAGTACACAGGCGGATGTGTGGAGGTTATATGCAAATGCTACACCCTTTTATATGTAAGGGACTTGGGCATGAGTGGATTTGAGTATCTGAGGAGGGTCCTGGAGCCAACCCCCTGCGGACACCGCAGGACGGCTGTGGTGACCTATGGATGGAAGAGCTGGTGGTGAAACGTGTGCCTCTCCTGCAGTTACGCAGTCAACATACTGTGGTAACTGAGATTTCTGCTGATCTGAGCCTCGCACGGTGAGGCCTGGCTGTCCTGTAACCTCCAAACGGGCTCAAGTGTGTGTTGACGATGACATTTCCCCCATTTTATGACATTTGAAAAATTAAATATATTTTAAAAATTTGTCATGAAAGTAGGTGATGAAACCTTTTCTTTCAGTCTGGTGGTGTAAGGGTGGGATGTGGAGCAGGAGGTGGGGTCTCTCTGGGGCCGTCACCCTGGGAGCCTCAGTACTAAGTTTGGCCTGAGAGCCCAGAATCTAGGCTTAGTTGAGCTTGAATGACAGACTCTTAATGCCAAGTCACACTCACACTTTGTTTCTCCTCTTAGATTGACATAGAAATCAATGGCGATGCAGTGGATCTTCACATGAAATTGGGTGACAATGGGGAGGCTTTCTTTGTGGAGGAGACCGAAGAGGAATATGTAAGTTCTGGTGGGTCACATCCACTTCACACGTTGTGTTCAGGCCCACGGTGCACATCCCAGAACAGAACGTTTAGTTTCATGGTGAGTTGTGTGGACGATTGTTGCTGGTTAGACAAGCTTTAGTTTTAGGTTGAAGAACTCAGCTGTCAGAATGGAGCTGGAGGGGCAGGAAGTTTCCCCGCACGAGTTCCAGGCTGCAGGGTGTGCTGAAGGCCTTGGCACTTACCCCTCTTGTGAGCTTCCAGTGACTTTATTAGGTGGTGTCTGTACAGTTTACACCTTGGCCTGAATACACTCAGTTCCACCTGAATAATCACAGCGTATCTCTTCAGGCCGTGTCTGCGTGTGTACACGTGTGACCTTTAAATTTGGGAAACATGTTTTGATGTTTTCGTTGGGGACATAACATCCCAAACCTTGAAGAGTCAGGTGCATTAGTTTATTACAGTCTCAAGAGATTTAAATTAATTGGCCTCTGCCCTTTATGAATGATTATTGCACGTTTGGCCTCTTTCAGCAAGGGAGCACGATTTGCCCCACTCCCTTCATGTATCCACTGATGTGAATGTTCCTGAGCTGTTCTTGATTGATTTAAAAGTGGATCTTTTTAAAACTTCTTACAAGGGGACTTCCCTGGGGGCGCAGTGGTTGAGAATCTGCCTGCCAGTGCAGGGGACACGGGTTCGATCCCTGGTCCGGGAAGGTCCCACATGCCACGGGGCAACTAAGCCCGTGCGCCACAACTACTGAGCCTGCGTGCCGCAACTACTGAAGCCCGCGTGCCTAGAGCCCGTGCTCCTCAACAAGAGAAGCCGCCGCATTGAGGAGCCTGCGCACCGCAACTAGAGAAAGCCCACGTGCAGCAACAAAGACCCAACACAGCCAAAACTAAATAAAGAAAACAAGTAAATTTTTTTTAAAGTAAAAAACAAAAACAACTCCTTAGAAGGCATCGTTAATCTTTCGTCATAAAGAATAAAAGCAATAAGCTTCAAGTTGTTAAGGGCACAGAGCTCCTTTTTTGGTTTTGAAGATGAACTGCCAGTTTGATGTCATAAATTCACAAAGAAAAGATAAACAATAGCAGAATGAGATTGTTTACCAGTTTTTACTTTAGCCTGGAAGCCAGCTGCATCAGTACTGTTCTGTAAACAGCAAAGAAACAGTGTTTATGAAGGAGAACCTACCAGACCAGTATTCTTCCTAGTATCTTAATTATTTGTTTTTATATTACGTAATTTGCATTTACTTGGCCTAGAGAAAAATTTTCCTCATCAGAGGCAGAGGCAAAAGGCAGAATGAAACAGTAAGCGAGTTATCATAAGAATAAAACATTTTTGATGTAACCTGTCACACTGATTAGGCTCCAGATAAATCAGCAGATGCAGTCAGTGAGAGGACTAGGTTCCTGAGAGTCTGTTGCCTGCTTCTCACATCAGTTCTCATGATTCCGTTTAAAACTGTGCTTAGCAAGGTCAGCCTGGAGAGTGTCAGCTTTCCAGCCTTTTTTCCCTATTCCATGTATGACCAAATTGACCAGATTTTCTTTAGTATGATGTGCTTTTCTTTAAAAATTAAAAAATTTCATTCATTCAGCAACCCTGGAATTACTGCTCTCTGCTACAGAGTATGAAGAAAAGTCCCTCTCTCCAGGGGCTCACAGTTTAAAGGGGGATAAACATTACCCGAACCCACCTGACTTCCAGTTACTGACCTTTTGTTTCTCTCACTGTCGTCATTTAACTGTATGTCATCAGCATCCCTGCCAAGTCAGAAGCTCTAGGTGGAACTTTGTCCTTTCACTAGCTGCACGGGTAGTCCCTAGTTGTGGATGTACCACAACACCGTTCCTTGAACCGTGCTCGCACCGATGGACATCGAGCTCATCCACCCCTGCAGCAAGTGCATTGGCTGAGCTTCCACGTGCTCCGTGCTGACTCGGCACGTCGATTCCTCCACTGTGTTCAGCGACGTGGACCCACATGAGCTGACGCTAAGCCCTGCAGGGGGGTGGAGACCTATCTAGGTAGGGTGGGCAGTGCCTGAGCTCAGTGTGACATTCTTACCTTTGGGAACTAGGTAGGTATTCTTTCTACCACTGTGAAATTTAGATCCGCCAAAAATGGTGGTGGTTTTGATGCACTGTACCGTTTGTCACCGACAACTTTTCTTTCTCCATATTCTCTTGAAGGAAGAGCTTCCTGCTTACCTCGCCACCTCACCAATCCCTACTGAAGATCAGTTCTTTACAGATATTGACCCCCCTTTGGTGAAACCAGGTGGAAGTGAAAGACCATCACAGAGTTCAGATGTCTCCCACGTTCTAGAAACAGAGACAGTTTTCACCCCCAGTTCTGTGAAAAAGAAAAAACGAAGGAGGAAGAAATGCAAACAGGACAGTAAGAAGGACGAGCAGGCCGCTTCCCCTGCTGCAGAAGACGCCGTGGGTGTGGAGCTGAGCTCGGATGACGACGAGGCGGCCCAGTCGGCAAGGTAGGCTTGGGGGGGGG